ATCAGATCTAGCTAATTCCTTTGCAAACCCACATAATTAAAGTATAGAATTCTCCATCTCCCTATTAGTGCAGATCACATTGTCCAATTGAGTGTCATTGTATTGTTATGAGAAAAAGTTTTTGGTTTTGGCAAACAACGAGCTGAAATGTCTTTGGCTCTCATGGATCATCATCTTGATGTCTGAAGCCTACATTCCATCTCACCCTTCCTTTCCTCCTGGTTCATTGGCATGCTGAGAAACAATAATAGTTGCAACAGGATAAGCGCGCTTTGAACTTGGCACATACTTTTGGCTTGTGAAATTGTAATCAAAATTAAAGCTAGAAATTGCCTATACTAAATACCATAAATACTAACACAGGAGAGAAAGGATCAGGTGGCGGTAAAAAGCCACCACTAAGAATATGGCAATATGAAATAGTAACTTACCTGACCATTTGAGACAAAATTGAGATAGAATTAAGGAGAAGTTTCTTGACTGGAGATTTAATGCACCAATTTTATTGATTTAAAACAAAAAGGGGAAATTTGGCCATAGGAAAATAAGAAAATAAATGGTTTGGGAGCTATATATATGAGAGACAATTATTACCTAAAACAGTGTTTGTAAACCTGGACAGCTTTGAGATGTGTGGGCTTCAATTCTCTTGAGGAATTATGAGAGTTGAAATCCGCACACCTTAAAGTTGCCACAGTTGAGAAACATTGCCCTAATATGTAGAAAAACCCTTTGAACTCCTTTTTAGAGAAGTGGAATGTGTAGATCAGGTTTAGCATAAAATCCAAATGGATTTTTACTGGCTGAAATCAATGCAGTCTGGTTAATTAATTAACAGTTAAATTGCTTTGGGCATAGTTAGGAAAAGACAGCTTTAATAATTTACTTATGGAAATGAGATTTTTAATAGCAATAGCTTATTTTAGTAATTTTATAATGTACCCGTTTAATCAACTTTACTTTGATTTTATAGTTGATATTTTTTATTCAGATAATTGTGTAAAGTGCCATTTTCTCTTCACTTTTTTAAAATAATCAGCACATCGACACAGCTTGTCACAGAAGTTAGCTAGACAGGATTTAAGAGAGAAGTAAAAGCATGTTGCAATTGTCTTATCTGTGAACAAACATTGATACCGTATTTTCCGGCGTATAAGACGACTGGGCCTATAAGACGACCCCTGACTTTTCCTGTTAAAATATAAGGTTTGGGCTATACTCACCGTATAAGACTACCCCTCTTCCAACGCACACCAAATAAAAATTAAAAAACATCAACTGGCTCACCCACAATGTTAAAGCAGATGTGCTAGACCCAAAATGGCCCCTGCAACAAGCAGGAACCTCACACAGCCACAAAAAACCCAAAAAAACAACTTTCACACTTTACACACACACAACACAACACAACACAACTGGCTCACCCACAATGTAAAAGCAGCTGTGCTAGACCCAAAATGGCCCCTGCAACAAGCAGGAACCTCACACAGCCACAAAAAGCCCAAAACCCAACTTTCACACTTTACACACACAAAATTCCACATACAGTTTTGTGAGATTTTGTGTGTTTGTGTAGTTAGAGTGAAACACTACAGAAACACACTAAATCTCAGAAACTGGCACAAATATTATTTTATTTTATTTTTATTTTTATATGAAAGCTAAATTTAAAACTTCCTAAACTTTAAATGGCTAGGTCTAAAAATGAACAACTAAAAAAAAACCCCAATTAACTATTTTTTTTAAAGCTCCCAAAGGGGAAAAAAACTTACGCAATAGAACAGGGGTCTCCAACCTTGGCAACTTTAAGACTTGTAGACTTCAACTCCCAGAATTCCTCAGCCAGCTTTGCTTTGCTGGCTGAGGAATTCTGGGAGTTGAAGTCCACAACTCCCTGCCTGCTTGATTGCAGGCAGGGAGTTGCTTGCTGATGGAATGGATTCAGGCAAGCGAAGCAAGGCAAGCGTTGCAACTAGCAGCTAAGGTAAGCAAGCTGGAGGGGGAAAATTTTCTTTTTACATGGCTCTGGCGATCCAAGCTGAGTTGCCTGATTAGCAGGCAACTCAGCTGGTATCGTCAGAGCTTGGATCGCCAGAGCCATGTAAAAGAAAAAAAGTTTTTTTCCTTTTAAATGGCTCTGGCGATCCCAGCTGAGTTACCTGATTAGCAGGCAACTCAGCTGGGATCGTCAGAGCTTGGATCGCCAGAGCCATGTAAAAGAAAAAAAGTTTTTTTCCTTTTAAATGGCAATCCCAGCTGGCGATCCCAGCTGAGTTGCCTGATTAGCAGGCAACTCAGCTGGGATGGTCAGAGCTTGGCTCGTCAGAGCCTTTCGGGTTGGTCTGCCTGGTTACAGGAGAACGACACCCGGCGTATAAGACGACCCCTGACTTTGAGAAGATTTTCATGTGTTAAAAAGTTGTCTTATACGCCGGAAAATACGGTACTTTGGAAACAAAGAAACACTGTGGCACTTGATATCTCCTTTTTGTTAATTACATTATCAAAAAAAAATCCCTAATATACATTACATGCTGACTTACCAGCTTTTACAAACTTTCACGGTCTAGGCCAGCCATTTTCTTGACTCATTCATTATAGTTCTAAGCCATGGTGCATAATTTAGGTTTATATGTCACTTGCTCCTTTCTACATGTTGAACAAATCATGATTGCAACAAACCATGATTTAGTACGTTGTATGGATCCAGCCAGTTAGTTGCCGCATTTCCCACTGAACTCGGTTGATTCTCTTCATTATTAAGCTGGTCCACTGATTTCAGTCAGATGAAGGAACCAGGTTTTCTGAGTTTCTGATCAAGAAGCTGATAAGCCTTCTCCAATCCTGCCCACTCCCATCCAGACTTTATAAAGTGGCCATAATTCTAATCCGTGTGATTCACTGTTCCCTCCAACTATTGCTGGCCCCTGTAGCATAATTTGGTGCCCTTCAAATGTGTTAAACATCAAACTTCATTATTCTTTTTCTATTTAGAAATTGCAGAAGTCCAAAATATGCGAATGATATGAAAAGACTAAAACAGATGGTATTTTCTTTTTCAGTAACTGTCTTTCTGACAACCAGTATCCATTCCAATATTTCCTTTTCAAAGATAGTTTAATACTGTATCATATCTGGCGGTAAGGGAGGAAAGTGATGAAGACCATTATCAGTGGTAGTCCTAACATTTGTTCCACCATCCTGGTTACAAATCTAGGTTCAAATAGCTTGATTTCAATCCAGCCTAATTACTGTAAATATTACATACCGGTAGATATGAAGATGCTTTAAAAGCACTCTCTCAAATAATAAAAAAGTTTTGCCAAAACCATAATTTAAGTGTATCTCTAAGAATTTCTAGTCAGTCCAAATTTCTATACAGTGCAGATTGTGTGTTTGTTCCTTTATTCAGTTATACAGTGATCAAGCACAACTTAATAAATATATGCTAAATTCTATGGGGCTTTTTTTCAAGTGAGATATAATATATCTGGATAACTGATGCTTGTTTATACTATAAATTGTCTCTAAAGTGTTTTTAAAATCTGATATTTCAAGACTACAAAAATATGATAAATAAGTAAGTATATACCGGTAATACATTGCTCAGAAATAAATTACATATCTAAACATAAGTTCTGTTGAATTCAGCAGATTTATTTCTGAGTAAGCATGCACAGATTATAATGTAATGAGTGTTATAATTGTTCAATGGGATTTTTCTTTGGTCCTTAAGCTTCTGCCACTCTGCCAGTCTTGTGACAATCAAATTGTTTCCATTTTGCAATGGAGTTTTGCAAAAACATACCATCTCATTAACACTATGGTTGGGTTTTTATTAATGTCTCACTTAACAACATAAATTTTGGGCTCAATTGTGATAGTAAGTCAAGGACTACCTGTATTCACACTCAAAGCAAAGTGCAAGTATTTTTCTGCTCTTTCAAAAGGAGTTTCACAGAAGTAGAGCCCACATTAATTTGAAATGAGAAAGATAGTAAAAATGCTTTCAATGTTTGAGTAATGTATCCATAGCCACAATAAGAGACAATGGTCCTATTTCTATCTTGATTTGATTTTTTATCAGAGGGCAATGGGAAGCAGAAATAATGACTTTTGGCCCTCTCTTGTTACATTGGCTACCTCTAATCCAGTGTTTTGCAATCTTGGCAACTTTAAGGTGTGTGGATTTCAGCTCCCAGAATTCCCTGACCAGCCTACTTCCTGAGGAATTATGGGAACTGAATTCACACATCTTAAAGTCATTGAGATTGAGAAACACTGTGGTAAACCATATGATATAACTCACCTAATGTGGATTGTTTATTTTTTCCAATTCAGTTTATCTTTGGCTGACTATTTTAAAAGACTCTCATAATTTGAAAACAAAGGAGACTCAATTTCTTACCTGGATCCATCAGGTCCTTCTTGGCACTGATATGATAGATGCAGGGTTAGAGTTGTAAAAGTTTATATTGGGCTGACATATCCATTTTACAGTAATTCTATACATATATAAGTGGTCATATGTCACATTGAAACTCAAAGATTCTTCTTTTTTCCCTGCTGGTTTTTTTGCTGAAACAAATAAGTACAAAAATAAAAACAAATCACATAGTCAGTTTTGGATAAAAGAAGGTCGATGTGGCTATAAGTATACCTTCTTTCATAAAAGTGTCCATGAGTAAAGTATTATATGAGCACTTTAAGAGCAGAAATTGTTTGCTGGTATGTGCCATCTATTTATCAGTCTGTAATGTAACATGTATTTTTGTTTAGAGAGCAAAGCTAAAATTAGAGTGAATCTGTTTGGAGCAGCTGTTTCAAAGAATATTTTTAAACATTATCTGAGGTCCTTCCTTCTTGTACAAAAACTGAAGAATTTATCAAGGATGGAGGGAGCGAGATGGAGATTAGCCATTATTCCCATACAACAACATAATGAATTTTAGAGGACTGTTATAACCATAACTGTTTTTGCTCTTACTTTATTTTTTTAGGTCTTTGCTCCATTATGATAAAGAAGACTGAGAATGCATTCTTCTTCCTTAGCGTTTACCACCTGCCTACTTCCAAGATCTGGGTCCAGAATGAACATAGCAGCAGTGTTTAACTCCTTGCTAGTATGTGTCCTTGCTGCTGTGCTGTGGAACTATATCAAGCTGCATGATCATGTCTTTGTGCTGGAAGAGGAGTTAGTCCTCATGCGTCAGTCCCAGGAAATCTCTCAGTTCAGCATTGACTATCATGTCGCACTTCAAGCTCTGGTAGAAGATGGCACCAAAATGGTGTGCACTGGCAGGATGCACACTGACCGTATATGCCGTTTTGAGTCTCTCTGTTATTCCACTGAAGCTGAGGAATTCGTCTTCTTCCATAGCAGTTCTTCTGTCATGCTTCCAAACTTGGGCTCCAGAAGATTTCAGCCTGCCCTACTTGATCTCTCCTCAGTGGAGGACCATAATACCCAGTACTTCAATTTTGTAGAACTACCGGCTGCAGCTCTGAAATTTATGCCAAAGCCTGTTTTTGTTCCTGATGTAGCACTGATTATGAATAGGTTCAATCCAGATAATTTGATGCACATTTTCCATGATGATCTCCTTCCAATTTTCTATACAATGCAGCAGTTCCCAGATTTGGACTTGGACACCAGATTGTTCTTCATGGAAGGCTGGGGTGAAGGACTACACTTTGAGCTATACAAATTGCTTAGCAACAAGCAACCACTCCTAAGAGAGCAGCTTAAAACACTTGGGCGGCTCCTGTGCTTCACCAAGTCATATGTAGGTCTGTCTAAAATCACAACCTGGTATCAATATGGTTTTGTTCAGCCCCAGGGGCCAAAAGCCAATATCCTGGTCTCTGGCAATGAGATCCGACAGTTCAAAACATTCATGATGAAGAGGCTAAATGTGAGTTTGGAAGGGATACCTGGTGAGGAATATATAATAGTATTCAGCCGAACCATCAATAGACTAATCCTAAATGAGGCAGAGCTAATTTTGGCACTTGCCCAAGAATTTCAGATGAAAACCATTACCGTTTCCATAGAAGACCATACATTTTCAGAAATAGTACACTTGATTAGCAATGCATCCATGCTTGTCAGCATGCATGGAGCTCAACTTGTGATGTCTCTCTTCCTGCCAAGAGGAGCCACTGTTGTGGAACTCTTCCCTTTTGCAATAAATCCTGAACATTATACCCCTTACAAGACATTATCTACCCTTCCTGGCATGGATCTTCAGTACATTTCATGGCAAAACACTGAAAAGGAGAATACTGTGACTTATCCAGACAGACCTTGGGATCAAGGAGGAATTGCCCACTTAGACAAAACAGAACAAGATCGCATTATAAAGAGCAATGAGGTTTCCCGGCACCTGTGTTGCCGCAACCCAGAATGGCTTTTCCGTATCTATCAGGACACCAAAATTAATATTGCTTCCCTTATCCAGATCATCAGGCAAACAGTGAAAACCAAACCAAGGCCTAAGAAGCAAAAGTGGACTAGTGGCCTCTATCCAGGCAAAGTTAGAGATGCTAAATGCCAAGCCTCTATCCAGGGTACCAGTGAAGCTAAGCTCTCTATATCTTGGCAGATCCCTTGGAATCTGAAATACTTGAAGGTCAGAGAAGTAAAATATGAAGTTTGGATTCAGGAGCAAGGAGAAAATACATACATGCCTTACATTTTGTCCCACCGAAACCATACATTTTCAGACAACATTAAACCATTCACGAACTATCTGGTGTGGATCCGATGCATTTTCAACAAAAATCTCCTTGGGCCCTTTGCAGATATGTTAGTTTGCAGCACATAATTGTTTTATAGCTACTAGCTTCAAAGAAGGCAAACCCAAGTTTGGGTCCTGTCATTTAAGAAGATGGACAAGAACTTGCCGACCATGATAGTGCCTACATGCCACTTTATTGCATTCTGAATGTCTTCTCTGTTCTGTGTAACATTACATTCAGTTAGTAGATAAACTCTCTTAATTATTTAAAGAGGCATGAGGCTACAAAATCGGAGTGGAATAATTGTTTTATCTTGATAGTTCTAGGAACTTTTCTGTCTCTCTTTTGTGTGGTAAATCTTTTAAATCTAGCTTTATACTGGAATTTGGTTATGTCACTGAATGTACAATTTTAAATTTATTTTTTTGTTTGTTTCCTAAAAGGTGTGTATTCCAGAGCAGAAATTTGGTTCCAGAATATTTATTAAATAGTTGAAAACCTATTCAAGCACCTCCTTATTTGTCTTTGATATTTATGCATTAAATAGAACTCTGTTCAATCTGAATAGGACATTTCCTCCAATGAAAGTCCTTTTTTGGTCATATGATCTAAAAGAGAGCTGTTAATAAGGAGTTTGAAAAAAATCCAGAAATCCTGCTCTGGTTGCTTTCCCTAAGTAATTTCTGTTTTATTGCTTTATATTCCTATTTTTGTAGTAGAGTATCTATTTTCCATAGCTCCAATGGTTGGATATTCTTTTTGTCCAAACTCAATGCCTAGGATGAACATCTGATAAAAAATATAAGATAAAGTCTATGAAGACAGTAGATCTTTGTTCATTAATATAACAATAAAACCCACCCTGTAAAGAAAACATGATGTTAACTATTGAGATATTTAAATGTTTAAATGGGTAGGAAATTTAGAAAGAATTGAGATGTCAGTCCAAGTGGCTATTTCTAACAAAAAGTGCAAGATTCTCACAGAATCTTCTTCAATCAAATGTTTTGAAAAGGGGAAAGTCACTGGAATCTTGGTAACTAGTCATATTTAGTTTAGTATCCAATTGAAGACTTCTTGGTCATCTTTTTAACCATCTATTGATACAGTAGGAGGTGGCTACCAGTTTCCCTGATGGACAGTATAGACGAAGCTTTGCAAAGAATCTTCCTGATTTTTATGCACTCCAAATCCCCTTAGCTTTAGCAAACAAAAGATTTTTGAGGGATTTTGAGTGTTCAAAAATATCTTGTGGCTGCAATTCCGCCTTTTCCTCACACAAGTACTGACTGGAAAAAAGTCATCCCAATGAGAGTGAATGGGAGGAGTGTCTTCTCTTTCCATTTGCACCTTCCCAGCACTAGATGATGAATAAATGAAAAGTAATTAATTCAGCATTTAAATTTAATGTACATTTAATATAGGGTGTGTAATAAGACTGCTGTCCTTTTTTCCTAATAGTGGTTCAGCAAGTAATTTATTCCACATCCCCTATAATATTGCCCTCAATCTTGTGTTACAATTATGAGATTCATCAAAAATTATGAAACCTATTCAAATTTTCTCATAGTGTTATTTGCAAAACTGTGCCATCTAAACATGTAGTGTTTGAGAAATCAAGGATTATCTCAGGTATATACCGTTGCTGTATCCATGTACTTCTATGAAGCTTCTTAAAATAACAATCAATTATAAATATATGTCAGTATTGTTTAGGGTTGTCCTCAAGGAATGATCAAAAACACTATCGTGATTGCAACAGTATGATTGAATCTGCCTTTTTATATGCTGGACACAGTGAAATTTTGATTGTACCATCATTGCTATCATCTTAACTTGTTTGACTCCTTCATGTTGATATTATGGGTTATATTGAATGGACTGTTGTCTGTAAAAAAGACACCTGAAGCCTCCCTGATTTGTTTGACCTTGAGATGATGTTTAATTAGAATGTTTAAAAACAGAAACATTAATAGAATATAATGTTTCTGTTGCTCCCCTCTGGGAGGAGGTTTCAAAGTATTTCTAGCAGGACTACCAGATTCCATAACCACTTTGTTCCCTATGCCATCTATCTACTAAACTCGCAAGATTCGTTTTTCTCGGCATGTATATGTATACATCTGAATTAGACTGTGCTGTTTCTCTGTTTCATATAGTATATGTGAGTATATGCATAACTTTGTATGTATGTATTTATTTATTTTATCATGTTTATGTAGTATATATTGGAGGCGGTGACCCTTTGAGAATTGTATGCAATGAAATTTCATTTTAATATATACCGATTAGTGTACATTGAAAGTGACAATAAAGTTATTCTATCTATCTAGAAGGTGTGGGGAAAATATAGGGCAGGGCAGAACAGCTGCATAGAAAATTGAGAGCTGTAACACAGAAGCAGGAAGAAAACTATTTCTGTAGTCCAAGTGTTGGGTAACCAGAGGATCACAGACAGTCTTCAGACATCCTGTTGGCACTGCTGACGGACAGTGCTGGGCAATAAAATTACCTGGAACAAAATGCTTCCTTTCCTTATTCTTAATATCTCGGAGCCAAATAATGCAAAAGCAAAGTAAAATAAAGCAAGGAGGGGAAGAGTAGGCTTCTAATGGCAGTAGATCAGGAGAGTAACCCAGAAGAAATAAATAACAATATTTACACATTGCTCCAATCTGCAATTCTGCAACATCCATAAGGTTGTCTTTCAACTTATATAAGCATTGGTGATGAATGGTAACAACACAAGAAATTGTTTGTGGAAAGAGAGCACCAGTGGGGAAAAAGTGATGAGAAGGTCAGGACTGAAAACAACATACATTTCTTTTCCAGATAGACCACTTCTTGCTATATTTCATTAGTTTGGAGATGCAGTTTCCCTAATTCATTTCTGGCTATTGAAACATCTAGTCTAGCTGTGCAGCTGTAGAAGAAATTCCTCAAGTGGCACCAGTAGAAATTCACAACAATTGTGCAAATATTGATCAATGCATTCATGTTCCTTTTTCAACTCAAACCTTTGGAGAACAATTGTTTTCCCACTATTCTTCCATTGTAATGGGCAGAGGTTTTTTTGGAGCTCATCTGTAAGAAACCTGTATGAAAGAAGATTCCAGTTGGCATTAAAGGGGTACACCACATGTTCATTGAAGGATAACAACATGCTTTAGGCTTTCATTCATGTTTTAGTACCTGTCAACTGATCATGTTAGGATTAATGATGTCAAATGAGAACTTACAGGTTAGGCCTTCTTTCTGATACAGTTTCAGAAAAATCTATCTCATATTACAGAAACTTTCTCTACTACCTATCTTTTCCATGAATTAGACTTTAGTGCCTATAATCTCCCAACTCAGTATGATATATTTCTGTGTGTGTCTGTGTGTGTATGTATATATGTGTATATGTATGTGTGTGTGTGTGTGTGTGTGTGTGTTTCCTCTAGCCAGGTTTTTCCTACGTAACCAAGGTTTTTCTGCAGCCCTAGCTCAGTAGAATCACATCCACTCGATTCTGGGCTTTTTTCTTTTCTGGCAACCAGCAAGTTCCAGTTGCCAGGTGGGAGACTTATATAGATCTATTTCCAGTTCGTTTGCTTTCATCAGTAAGCCACACCCACATCTTATGTATCCTTCCTGTAAAGGTATAGTATCTATTTTCTTACTTCTTCGTAGGATTTATGTGTGTTTTTCCTCTAGCCAGGCTTTTCCTATGTAACCAAGGTTTTTCTGCAGCCCTAGCTCAGTAGAATCACATCCACTCGATTCTGGGCTTTTTTCTTTTCTGGCAACCAGCAAGTTCCAGTTGCCAGCTGGGAGACTTGGTTGCTCATGTGCACACTCTTCTGCACATGCGCAGAAGCGTTTTGATGACGTTGGGGTAGGTGGGTGGAGCCTCCCACCGGTTTACTACCGGTTCTATAGAACCAGTCTGAACCAGGGGCAACCCACCACTGACACACACACATATACATACATACATACATGCATGCATGCATGCATGCATACATACATACATATACCCTGTTTCCCCCCAAATAAGACATCCCCTGATAATAGCCCAATCAGGCTTTTGAGTGCATTGCAATAAGGTCAAGTGCTTATTTCAAGGTTCAAAAAATATAAGACAGGGTCTTATTTTTGGGAAAACATGGTATATAAAAAGAGACAGACATCACGATCTCCAGAACTTAAAATATATCATCCACTTAGCTTTCGTTAGCCTCTGCTAACATCGTCAGTGTAAAAAGTGTAAAAACTATCATTGAAGTTTGCCTTTATGCATCATTGATCAATTTGGCCATTGCGTGCGTGATTGGCCCGTCCACCCACTTCCCACCTATAATTAGCTCTGTCTTTCTTACTTCAGGCATGTTAATCGATGGAGGCTTAACTGCTGTTTCTTCCTCCCCTATTGCACATTGCTTGGGCTGCCCATCTCCAGGGAATGATGTTGAGCTGTCAGATATTGCTTTAACGGCATTCTCTCCGGTCCCTTCCCACACACCACTGCTCCTCCACCTCACAGGTACATTTGATATTTCAATCAAATTCGTTTGTTGTTTTGCCCATGATCTTGTAACCAGTCCAGCTCGTTCCTCATTATCCATGTCTATTATGGCTTGGAGCTGTTCTGCTGGGCTTCTCGGCATTCGGCCTGGACTGGCTATGCCCCCACAGGACAAATCTACATGCCCAAAGGGTGGGGAGGTGTCATCAATCTCCCCGATAGAAATCGGTCTCTGCTCATCCTGCATGATCTTTCCCGGTGCCTCAATGCTTGGTAAGCCGGTAGCAGTTTGATGTGCCTATTGATGGAGTTATTGTTGGAAAACCAGGCTTGTTGGAAATAGACATCCCCCTTTAGTTGCATCACAAGCAACAACTTCAGCCTCTTGAAAATAGAACATGTGAGTGTGCTCCTTCATATGTGTCCAGATCTGGAAGCGTTGTTCTTTGCGCCAGACAACCAGTTCATGTTCATGCACTCTAGACTGTAGCCACTTAGCCGTTTCCCCTATGTAGTTGCTTGCACAGTTACTGCAGTTAATATGGTAAACCACAGAGGATGTCTCCTCTTTGGGTAATGTTTCTTTTGGGCACATCACTCTCATTCTCAGAGTTTGATCCGGTTTGTGTGCCACCTTGATCCCATGCACTGAAAGAATGTGTGCGGCAGTTTCGGATACCCCCTGTATATATGGGAGCGCCCTCCACACAGATGTTCCACTTGTACTCCCAATGGGCTGTTGGGCCCTAGGTGTGATACACCGTCAGATAAAGTCCGTAGAATAACCATTGAGCATGCAGATCTGATAGAGATGTGCCCGCTCCTTCTCTTTAGCCATTAGTGTGTTGCAATGGGTGTCTATCCTATTAAACAATGCCCGAATGCGCTAACTTTATGTGCAGTAGGGTGGTTGCTTTCATTGTGTAAAATGTGGCCCTTACTCATGATTTTTCAATACACACCTGTGTCAAGGCTCCCATCAGGAGCCTT